ATTACAAAAAAAAAGAAAAAAAAAAGTAATAAATGAACTGCGTCAGGTGTTTTATATATGTAATTGTGAAATTTTTTTTACAAAAAAAAAATTAGGTTTTCCGGATTAATAATAAAAAACATGGAAAAATTTTCTTTTTTTTTTTTGCAAGAGGTTGTTTCATCGCATTTCGCGATGAAAGAAAAAAATTTTTTTTTTAAAATGAGATAAATATATTTGATGAAGTGAACGGTTGAATAAAGATGAGAATACTAATGATGTTGAAACAAGATGAGAAAAAAAAAAAATTTTTTTTTTTTTTGAATGAAAAGAAAATTTTTTTTTATTTTTATTAATTATAAATATATATATATACATATATACAATGGTTGCGTAATAATAATAATAATACGATTATAATTATCTTAATATTTTAAATAAACGTTTGAAAAGTTTGTCTCACACACACACAATTTACACAATTCATTTGTTATTTAAATTAAGGTTTCGTTGTTATAATTAACTGGTTGCGGTTTAACAAAAAAAAAAAAAGTTATTTAAAAATAATAATAATAAATAAAACAAAATTGAAAATGTTTTTAAAAAATATATGTACATGAAATATGTTTTCATAATATACGTTTTGGGTAATTACTTTTTTTTTTTTTTTTTTTTTTTTTATAAAAATGAAAATTATCGATATTTAATTTAGTTTAATAGTTTTTAATATCTAAATCATTCATCAATGAGTACGAAAATTTCATATAAAAATAAATAATAATTTACAAATTTCGTGTAAAACATTACTTTTCGGTATAAGTTAATAGTTTTGCAATTTAATAATAATAATAGTATTGAATCATCAATTATTGAAATGAAGTTTCATTTAAAAAAAAAAAAAACGGAAGGTAAGGTTTAATTTCAAAACGTGAAAAACGAATCCCTGGAAAAAAATAAATATTTTACATATACGAATACGAAATTCAATATCAGAATGAATTTATATTATTTAATAATTACGCGTTATTTATTAATAAGAATAAATGGTAGTAAAAATAACATTCATAACCGACAGAAATTCCATTATCCTTTCTACTCAGGTAGAAAACCTGGAACGGATCCTCCTTGAACACATAGAACAACCCCATAATTATTATTAAAATCTAATAGTTTCTAGTTAGCTCTCTTGTTAAAACACTCGAATCCTGGATTTTAATAATCAATTTTAAATATATTCATATCTTGTTATCATTGATAATAAATATGAGAGACAAAATCAAAGAGAGGTAGAGATAATAATCACCTCGTCTGATGCTCAAAAGTGTTATTTATAATTTCCTATTAAAACATTAAAACTAAAAAGTTTTGTTAATTTATGATTAGGATGTAGTCCGGATCGATTTCGAAAAAATAAAAAAAAAGCAATTAAAATTGTTTTTAAAAAATTATAAGTAAAAAAAAATTGATGTAAGATGATTGAAATGTCAATACATTAGAAAGAGAGAGAAAACGTTAGTTTTAGAAAAAAAAAACCACCATCTGAATTGTCGAAGGGTCCATTTTTAAAAGAAAGTGGTTGACATTTATAATTAAGATGACAATGATAGATGTCAAAAAAGATATCAAAAAAAAAAAAAAAAAAGAAAAATGTCGGGTACACAAAAGAAAATATATATATATTAAAGATCCGCCATTCGAAAAAAAAAAAAAAATTATTTAAAAAGAATAAATTTAAAATAAAACGACAAATGGAGGAAAGTTTTTAAAATTGAAAATTCAATAAAAAAAATTTTTTTTTAAATTGATTCTACGGAAAAAATTCATTTATTAGTAAATTTTTAATTTAATTAAACTTTTTTTTTATTTTTCAAATTGATTTTCGCACATTTTTTTTTTTTATTTAGATAAATCATTTAAAAAAAAAAAAAAAAAAATCGCCAATATACATTGAAAATAATTGTTTGACATTATTGTTAAAAGTACAATAGGATATATAAAACATAAAATGTTTTATGTTTTTTATGTTCGTTTCGGTAAAATATTTTTGTGCCAAATTTCCTGGCTTTAAACAAAAAAAAAAAAAAAAAGAAAAATTGGAATTCCACGTGACTTTGTCCTATTGGGTGGTGGTCAGACATCTGCTGGGGACCTTCCAAATTATACCGATCGATAGGATCCCACTTTAGGAAATAATTTTTGCCATACGAGGGGAGCAGTCGATGTTTGTCAGTCAGAAATGATCTTCTTGTCTTATTTTCCATGTTGTTTTTTCTCTGAGACTACGAGATAAAAAAAAAATTTTTTTCTATTTTTTTTTAAGTAACATTCACACGACATACGGGAAAATCCTTTTACAACAATGGTAAGTTTCTTTTGACCGACCAAATAATATTTTTAAAGTTTTTTATTATTATTATTATTAATAACGCGTATATAAAATATTAATCGGTAAAATAATTACTTTAATAAATAAATCATTTGGATTCATTTCGTGGATAAAAATAAAAGTTTTTTTTTTTTTTCATTTTTTTATGATAAAAAAAAGTTTTTCGCTGATTATTTTCGAATATTCAAAAAAAAAAAATTTAACAATAAAGTTTATAATTTTTTTATATTTTTAGTAAGTACTTTTTTATTTATTTAATTTTATTATTATTATTGTTGTTGTTATTATTATTATTATTATTATTATTATTATTACTATTATTTAATGGATTTCGTTTTAGTATGGCTTTGTAAATCATGCATTAGAATTATTGGTCATAACAACTTTTGGAGAAGAAACTTGGGAAGAAATCAAGTGAGATTATTATTATTATTTTTATTATTAATAAAATTTACGTATAAAAATATTGAACAATGAATGACGTATCCCTTACAGGAAAAATGCTGAAGTGCAAATGGAAGGACAATTTCTTGTCCGTCAAATTTACGAAGATGAAATAACTTATAATTTAATCGGAGCTGCTGCTGAAAAACTTCGTGAGTCCAGACATACATATATATATTTTCCTTTCGAAAAATGGTTTAAATAATAATAATAATGATGATGATTGTTGGTTTACAGAACTTCCGGCTGACACGATTCTAGAACTTTTTGGAAAATGTTTTTTCGAATTTTGTCAAGATTCGGGTTACGATAAAATTCTTCAAGTTTTAGGAGCTACTCCTAGAGATTTTTACAGGTAAAATAAATTCCATTCGACATTTTTTATAAAAAATAAATAAATATAAAATATATATATATATATATATATATATATATATATATATATATATATATATATATATATATATATATATATATATATATATATATATATATAACGTCTGGGGATGTCGTTTCATTTAGAATTTAGATGCTTTACACGATCATTTGAGCACATTGTATCCGGGTATGAAAGCTCCTTCCTTTCGTTGCACAGTCAGACCCGAAGACGGAGCTTTACTTCTTCATTATTACTCCGATCGACCTGGTCTTGAACATATTGTCATCGGAATAGTAAAAGTAATCATCCAAAAAAAAATTATTATAGTTTCCAAAAAAAAAACATTTAAACCACTTATTTTTTTTTTGTTTTTGTTGTCGAACTCGAAGACGGTGGCGAGTAAACTTCACGGTACAGAAGTCGAAGTAGAAATAATACAATCTAAGGAAGAATCAGATCACGTGCAATTTTTGATAACCGGGCAATCAGGCCAAGGTTTTGCTTCGGATGCTGAATATACGGAAGCTGAAATACAGTCTTTGGGTCTGTCGGCAAAAAGAAAATATGAAAGTCAAAGTCAAATGGATTTTAATTAAATTTATTAAAATTTTTCAGATTCGAAAGTGAGTCCGGCAACTTTTTGTAAAGTTTTTCCTTTTCATATCTTGTTTAACAATAGCATGACAATTATGCAAACGGGTTCTTCGATTGCCAGAATTATTCCAAGTGTCCTTAGAAGTGGATGTAAAATCACTGACGTATTACATCCAGTTAGTTTATTATTATTATTATTATTGATGAGTTACAAAAATTTAATAAAATTTAGTTTTTGAAAAAAAAATTTCTTTTTTTTTTAATCTCAGGTAAGACCGCATTTGGAATTGACGTTCGAAAATATTCTTTCTCATATCAGTACCGTGTACGTACTTAAAACCAAACCTGGAGTCATGGAGGTGAACGTTGATCCCGAATATTCATCTTTGCGATTAAAAGTATTTTATTATTATTATTATTATTATTATTATTATTATTATTATTATTTTATTTATTATTCTGTAGAATAATCATCTTTCATTAATAATTACGGTCATGTAGATAATAAACGTTTTTTCTTTTTGTTTACAGGGACAAATGACTTACATTCCTGAATCTGATTCTATAATATTTCTTTGTTATCCGAGCGTTGTCAACTTGGACGATCTCACAAGGTAAACTTTTACCTTTACTATAACTTTCTTCATTTGCGCTCGTAAAATTGTGATTTAATTTTTAATTTTTAGAAGAGGATTATACATCAGTGACATTCCACTTCATGACGCCACCAGAGATTTGGTGCTCATGTCCGAACAATTCGAAGCTGATTACAAATTAACGCAAAATTTAGAGCTTTTAACGGATAAACTTCAACAAACTTTCAGAGTTTTAGACGGGGAAAAACAAAAAACTGACAGGTTAATAATAATAGTAATTTATTTAAAAAAAAAAAAAAAGAAAGAAATTAACGTGGAATTAAACTTTACGTCGTCAGATTATTGTATTCCGTGCTCCCGATAAGTGTAGCCAACGAACTTCGACATCGACGTCCAGTTCCAGCAAAACGTTACGACAGCGTCACATTATTGTTTTCCGGTATCGTGGGATTCAGCGATTATTGTGCAGCTAATACCGATGCGGGGAGCGCAATGAAAATAGTTCAAATGCTTAATCAATTATATACGGCTTTTGACGTTTTGACCGATCCCAAGAGAAATCCAAACGTTTACAAGGTAAGCAAAATATAATTGTGTGCGCGTGTTTTCAATTTTCATAATTTCCCATAAATTATTTATTAATTTAAAGGTTGAAACTGTCGGGGATAAATATATGGCAGTGAGTGGATTACCGGAACCTTGCAACACTCATGCTCGTTGCATGGCCAGAGTTGCTTTGGACATGATGGATTTAGGTCGGGAAGTTTTGTTCGATGGAAAACCTGTGGTATATATATATATATATTTTAATTCTCTCTCGATGATGAGGAAAATGATACATGACGGTGATGATTGATTGATTTTTTTTTTAAAAGAAAATAACGATTGGAATTCATTCGGGAGAAGTCGTAACTGGTGTGATTGGTCACCGAATGCCGAGATACTGTCTATTTGGAAACACGGTTAATTTAACTAGCAGAACAGAAACAACTGGAGCTCCTGGAAAAATAAATGTTTCTGAAGATGCTTACGAGTGAGCTTTTTCTTTTTGACTGTTGAAAAAAAAATTATTATTATTATCACATATATGAATTTTTTTTCAGGCATCTTTCTCAGCCGGACAATTTAGATCCTCAATTTCATTTTGAATATCGGGGACCCGTGACAATGAAAGGAAAATCGGAACCAATGAAAGTTTGGTTTCTTACCAGAAGTCAAGAACACATTGTTTAATTTTTAATTAATTATTTTTTTCTTTTTTTTTTTTGTTTTTTAACGTGAATCCTTACGTAGCCAAGTCGATAAATAAATAAGAAAGTGTAACACGAATAAAATTTATGTAACTTAAATTTAAGAGGAAAAAAATAATTGTTTAGTAAATAGTAGGATGCTGGAAAGAAAAAAAAAGATGACGTGTCGTATCACGAACAAAGTAAAAACCCAAAAATTTTATTCATACATACATATATATATCTATGTGTTGCCTTTAGCAAAATTTTCTTTTTCTTTTTTTTTTTTTTGTTTTCGCGTAAAATAAACTGCATGAAAAAATATTCATTATTATTATTAAAAAATTGTCTCTGATTTTTTTTTTTTTTGGGAAAAAATTAGAAGGGAAACATTTATAGTAATGAAAAAAAAAAAAAAAACAATTAATTTAGTTTAAAAACTAGTTATTATTAAATAATTTTTTTCGTTCATTCATTTATTTTAAAATTTACGAAAAGAAAAAAAAAAAATTAAATATTCAAGTTATGAAAGAAAAGGTAAAATTGTAACGGTTTTTTTTTGGATGATAAAAAAGCCCCGTTATAATAATACGCCATATTTGATTGTAGAATTTTTAAAGAAGTAAATAAATAATTTTTTTTTTTTATTTGTTTGGTGGCTATCAAAAAAATAAATTTTACCTTTTTTTTTAACATTGAATTAAAACAATAAAAATAATGTTTTAAAATTGATTGATAATTATTTACCTTTTTCATTATTTTATTTTCATCTTATATATATATATATATATATATATATATATATATATATATATTTATTTATTTAAAAAAGAAAAACTTGATTCATAAAAAAAAATGTAAATATTTTTTTTTTTTTAATAAATTAATAATTCTAATTAATATTAAAAAAAAAAAATGGCAACAAAATATTTTGAATTTATGGCGAAATTTTATTTGACTTTTTTTTTTTTATTAATTTACTTATTTTGCTTCGAGGCACAAATACCTGTTTGTACCTGAACGACCGTGAGCCATCGACAGTCTTCGTAGAACCGAGATACGGTTCGGACGTCGGGGCTCGCATATAACAAATTTATTTACTTTCTATGTGTTTTTTCGTTTTTTTCTAATGTGTACTAAACTAAAATATTAGTTATATGAAATGAGAAAAATGAATTTTTTATAAGTTCATATTATTATTACTATTATTATTATTAATGGTGAATAAATAAAGTTTTTTTTTTGGATTTACATGAATAATAAGGTAGTGAAAAAAAAAAGGGAAAGATATTATTTGTATTTGCCGCCTCATTGCATTCCAAATAAGGTAATTTTTTTTTTAAATTTAAATAAAATAATAATAATAATAATAATGTAATTAAGGAAAAGAATAATGATAACTTATCATTAGGTTTTTAAATATAATAATTGCTCAATTGCGGTTTTATATAAAATTTTCGAGGTTCAATTTGTAAATTATTTATTTAGAAATTCGGGGGGAAGGGGAGGGGGAGGGGAAAAGTTTGTGTCTTTTGTTGGCCTTCATCAATAAAGTAATTGCCTGCCTTGTCTCAAGTATTTTTTTTTTTTTTTTTTTTTTTTTTTTTTTTTTTTTTTTTTTTTAATTAGAGAGTCAAATTTACATTTTTTACGTGAAAAAAAAAAATTTTATGTCCTCGTTTTTAGTATCTTTGGCTATTTATTTATTTATTTATTTGTATTAAATTAATTAATTTTATTTTTGAAAAATAAAATTAAAATACCCCTTTTTTGATATTGTACCTCCCCTTTCCCTTCCCTTTACCTCCTCTTCCTCCTCCCCTTCCCCCTCCGAACACAAAAACCCCCTTTTTAATAATGATTTTAAAAAAAAAAAAAAAAAAAAAATTAATATCAATAAAATTGTCAAACTGATGACTTTTTTTTTTTTTTTTATTTAAAATGAAGAAAAAATTTTATTTATTTATGGTCAACACGCGACAGTAAAATTTTGAAAAAAAAAAAAAAAAAAAATTTCACCTAATGAGAGTCTAATTGTTTTTTTTTTTTAGGTTTTATATAATGAACTTTGTTTTTTTTTTTTTAACAATATTAAATTTAAAAACAACAAATTAAAAAAAAAATTAAATAAATAAATTTAGGACGAAACAAAAGTAATGAATGTGATTTTCTTTTTGACGAATGTTTACGACCACGCCCGTTCGATTTATTATTATTATTATTGTGAGTTTAAAAGGTTAAAAAAAAAAAATTTTTTTTTGTTCATTCATATCAAAGACAATAATTAAAAAATTTTTCTTACGTGTGAGCAACAATATCCGAGTGAAATTCAGGGTTGATCGTGTGTAATTTAAGCCTGACATGTAGCAACAACTAAAAGGTAGTTAAGTATGTCACCTGTTAAAACACATTCTTTTTTTTTTAGCAGTGGCGAATCCAATTCTAATAATGATTTTTTTTTTTTTTATAAAGTTAACTCGGAGTTCCGAAATCAGTTGAAAAAGACACAGAATCGAAAGATCCTGATTCAAATCCTTAGACTCGTATCTTTTAAAAAAGGGGGAAAAGGGGACCTAATACCTTATTGGAGGCATTGGGGAGAGATGGAGGGTTGAGGTTGAAATGGAGATCAAACTTCAAAAGTGCACGTCGATGCACTTATAATTTATCAATAAAATATTAATATTATTCGGGTTAATATAATAAGTGATACGTTGTATTTGTTATATTGCGTGTCGTTGTATCGATGATTAATTTTACTATTCATATTCATATTAACAAAAAAAAAAAAATTTTTTTCTTCAACAAAATCGTTAAACGAGGTGAAAGTTTATGGTTTTTTTTTTGAATTCGGTTCCAATGAAATAACATTATTAACCATGGAAAGTGGTAAAAAAAAAATTTTTATTTTTTTATTATTATTATTCCTTTCTCGTTTGTTTTTATGTCTGGCAAAAATCGTAAATACCTTCTAATTTTTTTTTCCCCACTACCTTTAAAAAAAAAAAAAAAAGAGAGAAAGAAAAAAAAACCAGCTCGTTAACAAAGTAGTTGTATGTTTGAAAAGGCCTAAAAAAAAAAAAAAAAGAAAAAAAACTTGTCTTATTATTCATAAAAAAAAAAAAAATTTAACTTTACGTGATAAATAAAATTTTTTTTTAAATTTTAAATTAATGATGTCATCAATAAAATTATAAAAAGATTTCCGCAAATAAAAACAATTGAAATTTAATTTGTGAAAAAAAAAAAAAAATGAAACTTGAATCCCCGGATCCGATTGTAATCAATTAATAGAAAAGTAATAAATGTTTATAAGAAAATGAAATATTCCATTCGGAAAATTTTAAAACAATGGAAAACCAAACATTTTCTCACCTGAGATAAACAAAACAAATTGACAAAGGTCACGGTGGGACACTTTTTATTTCGTATCAAATTTTTTTTACAAATCTTTCGCTCATCATTTATAAAAATATCCTCTAGAAACGATGGTTAAAGTTTTCGTAATAATAGTAATAATAGATGAAGGGAAAAATGATTCGTTTAAACGGGACCTTTTTTTTTATTTTGATTAAAAATAAATAAATAAATAAGGGTGACCATTCATAAATGAGAAATTCTAGAAAAAAATGAAATTGAAAAAACCTGAATTTGATCAGGATAAAAAAAAATCCCATTCATACTCTTTGTATTTGCTTTGCAGGATTAATAATATTAATTTGCAACACGTAATCAACGTTTTTATTTATTATTATTTTTACTTTGCATCTGTGCATGCAAAAAAAAAAAAAAATTAATATAAAAGATTAAATGTCGGTAAAATCATTGAATTCTTATAAATATTTTTTTTTTGTGATTTCACTACCCCCATATGACCAGCACTAGCCTTTAAAATGATTTTGAAAAAATTAAAAAAATTGCGTTTACAAAAATAAATTCATTGATATTTATTACTTTTTTAAAAAAAAAAAAAAAAAAAAAAAACTTCCACAAGCAAACAATAAAAACTAATAGTTTTTTTTTTTTTGTTTAATTTATTAGGGTAAGAAAAAATGGAGGCACTAAAAGATCATCATTTTCTTTCTTCTCTCCAAACAAAATCCATCGAGAATAATATGTCCGTTGAAAACGCGAAAGAATCCAATATGAATAATTCGAAAAATTTTTGTGATAATTTAATTTCGACGGAAAAAAATGGTGAAATTGGTGATTCATTAACAATAAAAACAAATTTCGCTGAAATAAATACTGAGAAAAGGGATTCGATACCGATCGTCGGAGAATCTTTTATTTGGAAACCGACAACTAATAAAATGAATATTGAAAAAACAACTTGTTGGGCTCAAACTAAAAAAGAAAATAATTTGATGAATGAAAATCAAGAAATACCAAATTCCAACGAATATGCAAACATTTCGACTCAAATTGATAACTTACCGGTTAATTTTAGTACAAAATCCATTCAGAGAAAGAAAAAAGTTCCAAAAATCGAAGTCAGACAAGAGGATTTTAAAACGGTGGTTAAAATTTCAGTCAAAGAAACTCCCACACCTGAAGAAGAAGAAGAAGAAGAAGAAAAAAGAGAAAAAGATATTTTTAATCGTTTAAAACCTGATAATTTTTACGAAAATGCCAGCGGTGATAACGAAAATTTTCTTGATAAACCCCATGGAGTCTCTTCAATCGCATTTCAAAATACAAATAACGATAAAGAGGTTTACGAAAATGTCGGTTCGTTAAGAGAACAACAATTTGAAAATACATCTAATGACACCCGCAACGATGAGTGTTTATACGAAAACTTATTAATTAGTCGCAACGTTCGAACTAATTCAAATGATGCGGATTCTAATTATTGTAATGTTGGACCATATCATTCGGTAGAAGAATCAAAAGTTCACGCGAATCCAAGTAACTTTACCAAAATCAATACAAATCCGGAAAAAAAAAATTTAGATAAATGTGAAGAATTTTATGAAAATATCGACGGTGGCAACATTCTAGTTAAAGTGAACGATGATAAATCATTGTTGAAAAACGTTGAAAATAAGTCGGAAAATTTTAAACCGGTGAAACACGAGTGCGAAAAAATATCCGAATTAGAAACAGAAAAAAAAACATCTTTTACGGAAATTGTTTTGCCCAAGACAAAGACAAACTTTAAAAATATAAAGAACGATTCCTTATCGGGAGATTCTTTCGACAGCGGAACTTCAAGTGACGTCGACGGACTTCCGACGTTTGTTCAAACAAAAAATGGAAACGTCATTGTCACGATAAAAAATTTTCAGGGAGAAGAATTTAAAAAAGAAGATTACGGTCAGCAGCAACAACAACAACAGCAACAGCAGCACGTAAGAGCAGAAAGTCTCACGAGTAGCGGTGTCGGCGCGGACAGCGGAGAAAGCGACGATGAAAAAAGTAACATCAGCTGCGATTCTCTCAACAGCAACGAACTTTATCCTCAATCAAATTCCGAAGATCACGGGTATCACACGCCCAATTCGGATGATAAAGCGGGGTCCCCAGTGAACGGCGGAAGCGTTTACGAAAACGTAATAAAAACATCGAAATTAAATGGGGGGGACTCGACGGGGGGTTTCGTCCAGAAACCGAATCCGATTGAAAAAATGGAAAATTTACGAAATCTAAAAAGATTCTCCGAAGGTTTATCGGATTGTTTTTGTGAAGATTATGAAAACGTTCGCGTTTTTCACACGACGGATGCTGTAGGTGAGAACAAACAAAATGATTTTTCACCAATCCGTGAAGATAATAAGGATAGTAATGTTGATAATATTCAAAAATCGTTACCAAAGAATCTCATACGCGATATATGTTCGAGAAACGGTAAATCATCGATCGCGGATCAAATGAAAAAAAAAATCAAAGACGAAAATAAAACTTTTGTTGCTCAAACGATTTTAAACATCGTGGGTTCTAATAAATCGTCTCCGCCGGATGCGGAAACAAACGGAAACGATATCGGTTCGAAAGATTCGAAACAAGGATTTGTGGTCGAAGAAAGAACATACGAAGACCGAAAAACTGATGTCCACTGTCTCAAAGGAAACAGAAGAATCCCTGCCGTGGATGAATTTGACACGGATCAATTTTATAAATTTCACGTGAAGGAAAATTCACGGGATGAATCGAACGGGGAAGATGAAACGTTCGCGGGAATCAAAGACTATTTTTCAAAAGAAAAGTCTACTGCCATAACGAGTGCCAAAGGAACCATCAGAGGAGTCAAAAATAGAGTGAAAGCAGGGATAGCCACATTTTTAAAAATGCAAGAAACCAAAGTGAGTATAAACCTAACATTAATATTAGTTATAATAATAATAATAATAAATTCTCATTATCAAATATTAGAAAAATATTGGACGGTTAGCCAGTTAAAAATTTTCTTCTCACGATCATTCGATATGGTTATTGACACGTTTACTTTTTTTTTTTTTTTTTTTCCTTATAAGCCTTTGTAAAAGTAATAAATTATGTTTAAATTGTTTTTGTAGGGGGGAAAAAAAAAAAAAACCAAAAGACAAATCGAGTAAGACACGTTTTTTTTTTTTTTTTTTAAAGTATTTATTTATGAATGGAAAAATAATAATAATAATAATAAAAGGAAAATACTTATTGAATAAAGAGAATCGTCTGCCGCGGTAAAACGTTTTTTTTTTTTTTCTGAATTGTTTTTTAAACTTACCAAAGATTTAATGAGTGACCGCCCGAAAAATGTTGCACAATATTATTGGGAGTTATTAGGGGCGAGGTCAGGTGATTGTCTCTTTAGACTTGCAATATTCGAAATGTCGGAATTTTCATGGAAACAAGTTTTCCATCCGTCCAAATGCTATTTACAACCTTTTGACATTTTTTTTAACATCACGAGCTAAAGCTCGTAGTAGTATTAATTACTCTTTTAATTATTATTTATTAATTTGTTAAATTTAAATTTAGCAATATATATACATATTAGATTTCAATCGAAAAATTTCTTATTGACAAAAAAAAAAAAAAAATTTTGTATTAAAAAGTATTTTAAAAATGTTAAAAAGTGTGTCACATTGAGTGGAGTGACTAATTTCACTCGTACTACGACTCGATAATAAAAGTTTTTCTTTTTTTTTTTTTTTTTTTAAATAAAAACGAAAACCGATAAATGTCGTCCTCGTGAGAATTATTTAAAATTTTAATTCACCTGTCTTCGAGTGGGGTACTACCACCTGTCATTACGGCATCTTTTGTGAAAGGTGAAGAGTGTGAAAGGGTGTCGGTAGATGATGAGAGTTGTTTTTTTAAACGACTAAATAATGTTTGGCTTTTGTGAAAAAAAAAAAAAAAAAAATTCTTTCGACCTTCGTCTGAAATGGAAAGTACTCGATGAAAACATCGCACAGAAAAGGGAAAGAGAGAGATAGATAGAGAGAGGAGGGGAGGAGGGAAAGTAAAGATTATTTTTCAAAAAAAAAAAAATTTTCATACGAAGTTGTTTGTTTGTTTGTATAAACGATCGGCCTTGACATCGGAATCCGCACAGAAAAGACACGTTTAAATCTGCCGTAGCAATAACCTCGACAACCGGACAAACGGTTAAGAGTCGATTCCCGAATCGAGAAATCGATTGTTATTGTAGGACGCCGATAAGCCTCACGGTGATTAAGCATAACGATTCGGATTCGTCCGATCGTAAATTCGAATCAGGCTGCAACGATATATTACCGTTAGGATGCTCACGCATGCATACCTTCAAGTGACCTTGTTGCTCACACACACACACGCACACGCAAACACGTCGGAATTAGAGATGTTCGATGAGCAAAAAAGGAAAAAAGAGGGCCCATCGACCTTGAATCGCGAAGGCCCATTCGCAAACTATTAAACTGGTTTTATTGACATTTCATAAGAAATTTTTATTTATTTATTTATTTTTTTTTCAAATGATTAAATGCTTATTACCGATCGATGGTAATAATGATGATGATGATATTGTTTAGATTCGAGTTGTATTTAAACTTTATTTCCGGGCTAATTATTTTTTATAAATTACGAGTTGTTTACTTGTATACATACACATACGCAATTACGCAAATTTAAATTGATTATAATAATAAATTATGACTTTGTTAAAACCTACATACAAAGATTATTTTATTAAAAAAAAAAAGGATAAGGTCATTCCTTGAGCTGAAAATTGAAAGTGAAAAAAAAAAAAAAAACATT